GTACTACAAAAACTATTGCGACAGCATAATTTTGTAGTTTGTACTACTAGAAAAATTTGTATGCTTTTGTTACATATACAAACCTTTATAATTTTTAGTAGATTTTAAATTTTAACAACTTTAACATTTTGTTACCTATAGCAATATACACAAGTTTAACACTTATACAATTGTACAAAATATAGTCAGCTGTTTTCACCAATGTCAAATAATTCATTAAATAATTTTAAATTTCAAATTTTTTAAATTGCGTCTATTGTAGTTAATGAAATATGATTAAAATAATAAAATCGGCTATTAGTAAAAATTGTATTTCCGAGTCGTGATATTCCTGAAACATTTACTCATTCATTATTTAATATCCGGAGTTTAAATATGAAATTTCAAGTAAATTCGATAATAATTTCTAATTGCTGTATTGTCAGGCAGCGCTTATTTATAAAATTTTAATAAGAAAAGCTTATTACTTTTTTTCTCGTTAATATTTTAACTATATTGAACTTAAAACTGGCCCGTATTAAAAATTCAGTTCCATAAACCTGATAAATCCCAAAAATTGACAAAACTGTATAATCGAAGTTAACTTAAAAATAATTTTTTGTGAGAATCCATCCAGCCACACTTGAGATAATCTCCCAACTTAACCAGATATAAGATAACCTCCCTTCTTTGTATGCAATGCAATAAGCAAAAAGTATTTTATAGCCCTATCTTACTGAATAACAAGTGTAAATTAAAAGGCTTGTACTTTTATATACGAAATTTCTTTTTTAAAAATATTCAAACATATATACATGCATAATGTACATATAGCATAAAAATTAAAAAAAAAAAATTTCATACTTATTATTAAAGTATAATGTATTTTCTTAATGTGTATAATACCCTTCATCACAAAGAATATCAAGGTTTTTAGGTATTCAGGACAAATATCTGAAAATTTTATATTCTTTGAAGTACCATACTTTATTATAACTTATGAATTGAAGGTATCTTTTGCATATCTGTATATTTATCTACATATGTATACCCGTTTATATCTACATCAATGAGATAAACACAAATATGTACATATACTAATAATTTTTAAATATTTGGGACTTCAATTTGTTATTTTCTGTTTTTTTTTTTTTGCAAAAAACAAAAAGGGCATGTACCTTTTCTTAAAAAAATGAGAAAAAAAAAGCACAAGAATAATGATAAAAAACAAAAAATATAACCCACAGTTTATACTGATGAATAGTCAAGTAAAGGATAAACAGTCAGGTAAAAATAAAAGGAACGACTTTAAATCTCAATAGATTTGGATGTTCTTTCTTCAAATGAACGGTTTTTTCTTAAATCTTTAATCGGCTTTTTCTAAATTTTTTACCATAACTCCTTCCTAAATGGCAACTCATGAATGTAAATTTAGATTTGCAGATTGCGAGAAATTTTTTCAAAAAATCAATATCTGGTCACTTCGACGCCGTAACCTTCATTGAACATTTGTAATAGCAAAAATGTTGAGCACATGATTGATGTTTTAAATTAGAACAAAAGTCGCAAGTTTTTCATTACTGTTTTTCACAAAGCATTCCGTTTCAGTTTGTAGCTCATGCTCTTCGAAAATCGTATATATTAAAACAAATTAATTATCCAGTTAAAAATTTTAAAAGTTCCAAAAGCATCTCGAGTTTTACTTTGAATTGGAAACAAAAACTACATATACTAGCAATTGTCCCATACATTATAATATACTATATAATATTTTAAAATGTCTAATATTATTTCCGTTTCGTTCGTGTACAATATTAATAATATATAATGTTATGTAATATAACAATATTATAACAGTAGCAATTAATAAGGAGTGCCTTGTATTATTAGGTAAAAAAAAAAGTAATATGTAACTGTTTAACAAACGCTACAATTATAACACATAAAAATTCCTTAACATTAATATTCTAACACAAAAGTATAAAAAAAAATTAGAGTAAAAAGGAAACTTGCATGTGTCTACATTATATTATGTAGGATGTAGATGTACAAATGTGTTTATTGTTATATTAAGCGAAAATGTACGTGAGTTAAAAATAAAAAAAAATAAGGCAAAATACGCACATAAACGTACGCATAAATAAATTTCCCTTTTTATTTTGTACATATACACACTTTTATATAAGTGGTAAGTACAAAAACAGAATGATAGCACGCGTATTACTCCGTCTCAATTTTTATTTACAGAATTACAAATATGAGAGTAAAGAAATTTTACTAACAAGAGAAACACAAATTCGTTTTAAATTGAATTTAACTTTAACAAAAGTTTTAAATTGATTGGGCTGGTTTGGTTGTTTAAAAGTTCATAATTTGAATCTCTGGAGAAATGTGTTTTCACTTTTCTTTCATTTAGTATTTTGGATATTAAAAAAAAATTGAGAATTCGTTTTAAAAAAAAAAAAGTTTTTTGATTAACTTAATCCTACAAATTAGAGAGACAAAATAAATATTTGCAAAATTGCTAAAAATTAGAAATATGAACAAATAAAAAATTACTGTAACTAAACTAGTAAAGTTCACATTTAGTGCTTTAGTTAGCTTCAAGAAAATCGACGTCGCAAAAACTAAAACAAAGAAATGGTTTAAAAAGTAGTACTTTTCACTTGAACAATTGCAAAAACTGAAAAACAATCGATTACATTTAAGAATACTTTACCTTACCAAAATATTTCCAATGATTGCATATTTTTAGGATGACACAAAAAAAAATTAAAAAAGCCGTTAACATAATGCTCGAATTTAAGGGTTAATTGCGTGAATTAAGATAAATAACTATATATTTTTGGATAGCATGTACCGTCCACTTTCTACTTTAATAGAAATTTTGAAATAATTGCAATATCGGAAATATAAGGTGACGAAAATTCAAATGTTACAATTTTCGACTGACGGTAACTTGACGGATGATGAAGGTGGAAAAAAAAAATTTTATTAAAAAGCCACTACTACTTTTCTTAGTTTGCTGAATTTACGATATATTTTTAGTTTCATTACAATAAATAATCAAAAATGGCATTTTTAGAATTTTGAGGCGCTATAAGTTAAAAAATTTCTTCTACGGAAATAACTTTATATTAAAGATCTATTTATATATAAAATTTCAGTTGTTTGTCTTAAATATAAACAGATGCACGAACGGACAGCATAGAACTAATAAACACTTTACAGTACACATACTTCATAAACGTTCATATTACGTATCACTCATAAGCTCCTATAAGTTATTTTTTGAATTGCTTTACAATTATTTTAAATGTTGTAAAAAATATCAAAAGTACATATAAAAAAATCTATCAACATTATAAATTAAATTGAAACTGTGAGTGCCGCTCTAAAACTATCAAAATTTTTTGTTTCAAACAATTTTTCGTCACATAAAATTTAAGAATGGCAGCAAAATCAAAACAAAATTAAATTTTAAGGTTTGTAAGTTGGAGAAGGATTCAAAAATTTTCAATTCATTCACATCAAACTTAATTTTTAGCATAATTTTAAATTTCCTTTAATAAACCGCTTAAGTACGCCATTGACATGCAAAATTTAATTACGAATTTTTTTCACACACGTTTTCGTAAAATATATTATCTACATACATACATATATATATTCATATAAAAATGTTTTTCATACTACAAAAATCAATTATTTTTAGAAACATAAATCTAGGACTGCATTTAATTATTCTATTTTCTGGTTTGTTTTTTGAGAACATAGCTATTATAAAAAACGAATGAATATTAAAATAATTTTTTTACTAATATAATATTTAGAAAAACTATTTAACCTATTTAACCTATTTGTATATATAAAAAATGTTAAAAATAATATTCTTCCTTTAACATCTTGACAAATAAGTTTTTAATCTATAAATATTTTCAAAATAGAATTTTTCGTTCTAGTTTACTCCTATCATTTTTTTCCCAATATTTATTTTAAAATATTTTACATATATGTTATGTATACATACAAAGGTATAAAATATATAAATATAAATAATATGATAATAAATTTATGCCAAAAAAAAATATAAACACAAATCTAATCTCATTTATATTCTGTTATATTGTACATATTTATAGGCGTCCAATAAAATCTTACGTAGATATGTTGTGACCTAAAGAAAAATTTTTTTCTCTTTTGTATTTTAAAAGTTGAGAGCCAAATAATTATTTTTTTTTAATTTTATTTTCATAAATAAATAAAAAAAGTTAAAGAAAAAAGAGAAACTGAGAAACTAAACAAAATGGAGCTTTAACCATACAAATAAACTATGCGTATAAATTGATTTTATATAAATTATAGGGGAATGTGTTTAATTTTTGTGCATGTGATATAAATGTACAGGATGATTCAGTAATCACTAACATAACATATACTATCATTTAGAGCATCAAAAATGAGTCGAATTTTTGTTCAGAAGTAGGTGTCAAATCTCAACGTTTTCCAAGGTACAGGGATTTTTAACGAAATTTCTACTTTCAAAAATTTTTTTGCCTATAACTTCCCTTCCGAAAAAGATAGAACCTTCAATTAGATAGTTTTTGAACGGGCTAGTACAGTGGCTGAAAAAAACATATAACTTGCTTTTATATTTTATGTACTTTCGGAATACCGAGATTAAATTATTTACCATTTTATTATTTCCCTGAAATTATTTCCAGCCTCACACGAAACACCCCATATATAAAAATCCAAACCAGCATCTGCATTTCAAATCTTGTATATTTCATGAAACCTGGTAACATTTTTTATGTCTATAAGATCCCTACAACCAATTGAAATATTTTCGAATTGCCATTCTAGTAAATTAATATAAATTTTTACTTTTTGTATAACATAAATTATTTCTAAAATTATTTTTTTATATTTTATTAATGAAATTTAAATATCAACAATATACTAATTTTCTTTTTTTATTTCTTTTTTTTTTTTTAGCACATTTTCTTATAAAATAAGATAAAAAAAAATAAAAACAAACACCAAAAATAAAATAATAAAAAAAACCAAACTTACAATTTCCTGCTTTTTTACTTTTAATAATTTAACAACGTTTTTTTTTTTTGAATTAAATTCAAAAAAAAAAAAAGAAAATTCCAAAAAAAAAATAAAAGACAAAAAAAGAAGAAAAGACTTTTGCTAATACTAAGGATAAATAAATTGTAAGGATTTAAATAGGAATAAATTCGTATATAAAAATTAAAAAATAAAAAAAAAATCAAGATTTTGCGTACCTAAATTATTGAAGGACAATCAGCATACAAGAAGATAAAGCATAAATAGGCGCTCAGAACAAGTGAAAGCAAAAAGGATAAAAAGGATTTATTGATGAATAAATTTTATATATAAAATACACCGATTCTATATAGACCGATAAAAAATTCAAAATCTATATACTATTTTATCAAAAACATAATAAAAGCAATATTAAGATATCTACATCATATACATACATAATACGCATTCATAAACTTATAAAAGCAAAATAACCATTAAAATTGCTATTTTGTACTGACTGTCTTTCGAAATAAAAATATAAACAAAAATAAAACATAATTCTCTCTCTTGTTCTCTCCCATACAATACAAAAAGTCGTATTTCTCTTGAAAGATTTTGAAGTTAAATAAAGCTAAAAAAAAAACATATAAAGCAGATATATAAAGTATTAATAAATCCTTAATAAAGTAAAAGGATCTTTAATAGCGAAATTTTTTGATAAAAATTTTTTTTGTGTGAAGAGTTTAATAAAAAATCTTTCAAAATTACTAAACAACAGGAAAAAACTTCAACTAAAAGCAAAATGATTGCTAACGGCTTAGAGAGCAGCCAACAAAATGGCCGCGCTGGTTCCATAAGCAGCGGCCAAGATGACAGCAAAACAAATTTGATTGTCAACTATCTACCGCAAACAATGACACAAGAGGAAGTTAAATCTTTATTTTCCAGTATTGGAGATGTTGAAAGCTGTAAACTAATAAGGGATAAGGTCACTGGTGAGCTAAAACATATTGCTTTTCTTATTTTACATTCATTAAATATTTATCTAAAATGAGCATTTAATCAGAAATATTATTTGAAAAATCGATCAACTAAACTACTACATGTATTTGCGACTAAAACTACAAACTGAAAACTTACCCGACTTTTTTTACCCGACTTGCAAATGACGTTTCTGATCTTGTATACATATAATTTCTATTTTTTCTAACCTTAAAAATAATATTTTCCTTAATGTATTTTTAGGTCAAAGTCTTGGTTACGGTTTCGTGAATTATCAAAAAGCTGAAGATGCAGATAAAGCTGTTCATACATTTAATGGTTTACGTTTACAAAATAAGACAATAAAAGTATCATTTGCTCGGCCAAGTTCAGATGCAATTAAAGGTGCTAATTTATATGTATCAGGTCTTTCAAAAAGTATGACACAAACTGATTTAGAACATTTATTTCAATCATACGGACAAATTATTACATCGAGAATATTATGCGATAATATAACTGGTTTATCAAAAGGTGTTGGTTTTATACGATTCGATCAACGTTGTGAAGCCGAACGAGCTATACAAGCTTTAAATGGTAATACAACCTTTTTTTTTTAAATTTTTCATAATAATAATATTAACCAATTTATATATATAAATTTTATATATATTTATATAGGTACAACACCAAAAGGTGCTAATGAACCAATAACAGTGAAATTTGCCAATAATCCTAGCAATAATATTAATAAAACTTTACCACCATTAGCTGCATATTTAACACCACAATCAAATCGCCGTTTCCCTGGGCCAATACATCACCCCACCGGTCGTTTCAGGTAAGTACATTTAATAAATTATGTATTACAAATTTTTCTATAAAAAAAAAATTTCTAATAATATATATATAGAAAACTATCTCCATTCAGATTTTCTCCATTAACTGGAGATTTACTTGGAAATACTATTTTGCCAACAAATGCTATTAATGGTTCTGGGTGGTGCATATTTGTTTATAATTTGGGTAAATTAATATATAAAAAAACAAATATAAATTTCATTAAAATATTATAATATTAAATTATATATCGGAAAAAAAATATTATATTATTAATTTGAATTTTAGCTCCAGAAACTGAAGAGAATGTTTTATGGCAATTATTTGGTCCATTCGGCGCTGTTCAGAGTGTTAAAGTGATTAAAGGTATGTGTATATAATATCAATGAAAATTATTAATTAAATTGAAAAAATTCTCACAAAATCTAATAAATTTTGAAAATTTCATATTTTATATTCATAGATCTTCAAACAAATAAATGCAAAGGTTTTGGTTTTGTAACAATGACCAATTATGATGAAGCTGTTGTTGCTATACAGTCATTAAATGGCTATACATTGGGTAATCGTGTCCTCCAAGTCAGTTTCAAGACGAACAATACTAAAAATAAAACAAACTGAAATGATATTAAAAAATTTATATAAATATTTATTTAAAAATATATTATATAAAATTATTTAATGAGAAAACAAAAAAAAAGAAATGATATACATACATATTTTATGAAATATTAAAAGAATGAAAAAAAAACCATAAATTTTTACATTAACATACATACATATATATAAAAATATATATTATATATTCATATATATGTTTAACATTTAATAAGAAGAAAAAACAAAACAAAAACCATTTTAAATCTTAGAAAAACCAATATGTATTTAAAATTTTAATTTTAATTAAATGTCGTTCAAAACAACCATACCAAAAATAATAATAAAAAAAAAATTAATTAAATTAATAGTAAAGAACTTAAAAAAAAATAAAAACAAAATGAATATAGAATGGATAAAAAAATCTTTAAACTATTTTATAAAAAAAAAAGCAAAAGAAAAAATTAAAAATAAATTAATTTAAACACTTTATATTAATTATTATTAAAACAAAATAAATTAAATTAAATTAAATTAAAAAAATGAAAACCTATATAAAATTAACATAATTTTTTTTTCCTTTTTTTAAAGTTATTTTCCATCAACATTTATAAAATGTACATTTAAAATATATTTAAAAAAAAATTAATTATATTTGTATTTATATGTGTGTAATATGCATATACATACATATTATATCTACATATATATATATATATATTTTTAATAAAAATTAATAAATAAATTCAAATATTTAAATAAATTAAAATAAAAACAAAAAAAAAATGGTAAATATCCGGGAAAGAAGCAATAAAATAAATTTTAGGAATAATTTTTTTCTGATCTTTTAAAAAACTTTTACTATAATTATTATATACAATTATTATGTATATGTATATCTAATTGATATGTTCCTGATATTTCAAAATTCATTAATTCCTCCATTTTAAATAAAATCTTAATATTACAAAATTATTAAAGAAATAAAACTTGTTGGAAATATTTCGAAAATTATGATTACATAATATAGAAATTAATAATAGATTTTATTTTTTGTTTAATTCCAACAGAAATAATGGTTGTTCCGCCCAATTAAAAAATTGTTACATTAATCATGTATACCTATGTATAATAAGTGTAATATAAATTAATATGTGATTGTAAATTACCACAATATATAATTTAAATTCATTAATCTAGCTATATATTCCGAAAGAACAAAATTAATTAAATAGAATAATTTTGATACTAATGCAAATTTTTCACAATTTAGAAAATTCAGTATTAAAACGGTGGTTTTGGTATACACGCAATTCAACTTGTGAGTTATTTTTTGTTAAATAATATATTTTATACCGTTATGCTGCAATTGTTAAGTCGAGAGCGAATGTAAGTCGAGAATATAATATATTCAACATTGGAAAAACCCTCAAGTGGTTGTTCATGGAAAACCTAAAAATAATAATAAATTAATAAAATTTTGAATTATCTACTTATATAACAATATTCCTATATGCTAAAACAATAATTTTCTAATCATTTTATAGCTAAAAGTTATTTAAATATAAAAAAATATTCATTTTCCATTTTATTAAATTATTTCAAATAACATAAAAATTTTAATAAATACCAATCATTCACTTGAAATGAAATATCGGAACATAACATTCTGATATATTTATACTGTAGGTTTTTTGTAATTTTAATTTTCATTTTTAAATAATTTTTCAAAATAATATATAACAACAATACATATACTATGGTATTTAAGAATTTTAGGGGAATTTTTTCGAATTCCATATATATACCCTATTATTCTGAAAAATTAAAAGAAATAAAATTATGAAAAAACCACATTATTTAAAAGATCATAGCTAGAAATTTTTTTGTATAAAATTTTATAAGCAAAAATAAAATAAAAAAACACAAAAAAAATATAAACAGAAAATAAGAGTAAATGTTAATTAAATGAGGTAGGAACTAAATGATTCGCGAAAAAGTATTAAAAACAGCAAAACCCTAAGTGAAAACCTATATAATTAAATATCAAATGATTATTTAATAACGTACATATAAAATAATCATTTATATTTTTCGTCATAAATGAAAATTACCTAAAAAAAAAAGAAAAGAAAACCAAGAAACACTTTTTAAATTAGATAAAATAGAAATAAATTTAATAATGAAAATAAAGAAAGAAAGGAAGATAGAAAGAAAGAGAAAATGAAGTAAAAAATATATTAAAAAAACTATTTTTTATTAATAATTTAATATTTAATTAATATAATTAAAAAAAAAAATTTGTAATTGTTGTTTCTTATAATATGGTAGTCAAAATTTTGAATTAAAATTATTATAAATTAAATTTAAATATTGAAAAAAAAAGAGAAGAAAAAAAATAAATAAATTAAAAAAATTTTTTTTTCTTCTTCTATATTTCCTTTTTAAAAAATGTTCTGTTCAAAAATTTTTTAACTCTTAATGTTTTTTAGTAATATTATGAAAAAATTTTTGTAAAAATTATGAAAAAAAAAAATTGTCAAAAATGCCATTCACTTTAAATTTAAATTGAATTAATATAAAAATTTTGATGTATAATTGATTATTTATTCATATATACATATACATACATATATGTATAATTAAAATCGATATAGAATTTCTTAAAAGAGAGAAATGTAAAAAGAGAAAATTTTTTTTGTAATATAATATCATAAAAATATTGAAAATTTTATTTTAATTTATCGAAATAATTACAATTAACAATATCGACGATATTATCGATTCAATGTTTAGAATAGAGAATCGACCCAAATGTTTAGCAACAAAAAATTTATTGTTGTCGCATATTTTAATATTTTGATTTTTGATTTGTTGCAGTATTATGAAAATATTTTTAGTATAAATGCATTATGTTATTTTGGTATTAATTTTGTAAAACAAATTTTAATGCTAATAAATAAAAACATAAAATATGTACGTGTTAGACCTTTAAATTCATTAGAAGTCAAATTTCTTAATAAATAAGCACAATTATTTTTCAATTTATAATTTGAATAATGAATTAGAATTTTTCCTTATAATCAATTCAATTCCAGAGTAATTATATGAATTATATGAATTATATTTGAATATAAATACATTAAAGTTATTCGATTATAATGAATTATTAGAATAGTTTATACATTTTCAAATCTAGGAAAATAAAACAATATAAAAATAAAATAATTTTGCAAACTAAATAATTCTAAATCAAAAATACTTCCCCATAAAAATGGGCTATATTTTAATAAATATTCAAATTTTTATAATATTATATTTAAAAAAAAAAACCTTTCTTCAACATTTCTTTTTATAGTATAATTTTTATAGAAATTCCATTACTTATACAATTATAATTATAATTTATTGACCGTAATCTTATAATTATGTACTTAAAGAATTATATATTATAATAATTATATAATTTAATTATATATTAATTAAAATTATTAATATATAATTATATAATATTATTCAAAATAAAAACTCTTAAATTAATGTCACTTTATACCATTATATTATAATTTAAAATAAAATATTTTATGATGTATTAAAATAAAGAAAAAAAAATTTAAATAATAAATATATGATTTTTTTTTTTTAAATTGATTCAACTTAAATCTAAGAAAAATAAAACATTGAAAAAAAAAATCACAAAAAAAAGAGATAAATAAATAAATTAAAATATCAGTAGTGTTCAACGTAAATTTTCCTTGCATTTATATAAAAAAAAAATTTTTAAACAAAAGTAAAACAAAAAAAAATTATATATTAAATAAAATACAAAAAAAATAAGAAAAAACAAATTATTATTTTTAAAACAATATATATTATTATTATTAAAATAAATAAATGAAAAAAAAAAATAAAACTTAATTGTATACTCATTTTTGCTATTTAATTAAAATATATAAAATATCCTTTCAATTGTATTCAAAAATATAAGAATTAAATGATAACAAATAACAAAAAAAAAAAAATTAAAACCTTATTAAATATTATTATTAAAAATATATTATTGAAATTTTTTAAATGTTTTAATACCATATAAAATCATAAAAACAATATACATACATACATGATTGTACTGATATATTTTATCGTATAATTGAATTATGTTAAAATTTGATAATGTCAAATATACGTTAAATAACGCTAATCAAATACGTAAACCAAATTTCATATATGATTTACTAAATGACATTTCAAATAATGTAATTCATTACGATAGAAATTGAAAGTATATGCAACCGCTATAATTGTCACGCATTTAACAATATTTAAACATAAGCATTCATATATATATATTTTTTTTAATATTATGAAATAATTCATTTTAATTGTCATATTTGAACTGTGTGTCGAACATATATTATTTTTATATTATTATATTGTATTTATAATTATATGAAAGTCAAAATGACATCTATTTGACAATCAAAACATATAATACATATATAATAAAACTGAATTCATTATTCAATAAATATAAAAAAATTATGAGTTTAAAAATTTAAAAAGTTAATTATATAAAAGAAATATGCAATAATCATATGATTTTATTTTGCAACTTTCATTAAATTTTATTTTTCATTATTATTTGAGTATAATATAAGTTGTTTCTTGAAATCGATGGTTTATGGTGAAAACGCTCCTCTATCTAAAATATGATCAAATATTAGAAAATACGGTTGAGTTCTTTTAATTTACAATCTACATATTTGTAATGAATAAGAGCCAAGTACTAGATAGTTTTTGCCTTAAGCCCTCGACATATATTTTATGTTATATATCACAAATTAAAGTATATACTCAATAATAACATATAATGTATTTCTTATTACAATTATAATTAATTTAAAATTAATTATACACTGCAGGCATATGTTAATCATGAATTTTTTTAAACATCTGCGATTAAAAAGGAAAATTTTTTTTTAAATTTCGTTTTAAAGTCACATAATTAAATTTATCTAGTCAAATATTCGTGTCATATACATGTAGAGAAATAAACTTAATACATACATTAATTTTTACAATAATTAATTTATTTCTATATATTTTTCAATTTTTAATTCTAATATATTTTATTATTACAAATATTATATTATATTAGAGAAATTAAAATTATTATACTAGTTTTTAAATTATATAAATATATATTATACATTTAAAATATTTCAATAACATAATTTTTCTAGTAATAATTGACAAAAAAAAAATTATTCAATTTACTTAAGTTTTGCTTTATTATATTTAATTATATAAAATACAAAAAAAAAATAAAAAGCATGTGTATTTAAATAATTATTATTATTATAATTATAATTAATTCAATTTTCAATTTTAAAAAAATTAACTAATTAATTACATTATATATAAATTTTTAAATACTCTTCTTATACTCATAATTCCATTAATTGACATTTATTGTATATTTATTATTATTATGAATTATTATTATTAAATTATTATAAATTATATTCATTATAAGTATATGTATTGTATTTTGATTAATTTAATCATTCATTT